TATATTTAACATTAATATTTTCCCCAATTTTTAAGATATTTTGAAAATATTCCGAATTGATCAGGTGATATCCCCCCCCTTGGGAGAATATCTCTCGGAATGTCAGCGTGAACTAGAGGCGTAGGATTAACGAAAGAACTAGAAGGAAACATTATCTTAGTATGACTTTATTAAGATATTCAACTTAAGCCTTTAAAAAATATAATTATAATAATTAATGTGAGAATCTACGATAGCAAAATACGCAACACACAATATATATATAGATAATAACGACTTGACTCGGACCACTATCAATAACTGAACCACCTAATTGTAATACGATTCTAATACGATCACTGATTCTAATTTTAAATAGTCAATCCTACCTTGTTGCAGTTTGAAGAATCAATCAATATTGTCATATGCTCGATCTTGTCTTTATTTGCGTGCACTGGTGGGCACCTTGTATTCCATATATTCAATCACTTAACTTCTAATCACCGTCACGTAAACTTATCCAAACTTGAACCATGAACTATATCAACATTCCTCTACTTGCCATCAACTGCCGCAAATTGCCAGCTCGCTTACTCTAAGTTCCGATATTTAAAAGTTTGTTAATTTGCATCTTTCATTCACACTTCACTTCTTGGATTTGGTTGGAAAAGAGTTGCCATTAATACTGGCTCAAAGAACCCAAAGGACTTGTGACGTGCTCACGCGTCTTTTCTTTAACAATTATATTAACATCGTACTCAGAAGTTACATTAGAGCTATTTTCCCTAAACCTTAATTTTGAGCTTCAGATAAGTGGCGAGGACGACTCCTGAGCTGGCACGTATGTCTCCAAAATTCCCCAGCACAAAATAATGAGTTAAATACGGGTTCAATACTGCCTTGTACGGGTGGCTAAAGCTCTTTTGAGTGATATCCGTTTCTTTGAGCATTCCGCTAATAAAGTGAGACAATTGTGTACCAAAACGTGACATTAACACAAAATTAGGTGTTATCTCTTCCTTGTATTTTTCTATTGTACCACTCCGTGCGACATCAGTCTTGATTACACCACAACTCTGCATGGCCACGGTAACCTAGTGGTTATAGTCACGAACTTGTGGTTGGCGTGTCACGAATTCGAGCCCGTGCCGCTGAAGATACTCTTCGTTGAGGGGTGATGCACGCAGAGACTCTTTGAGACCCTGGCCCCTTTGCAAAAGTATTCCCTGCCTGAGGTCTTTAAACGTAGACATGAGCATGCATTGTCAAATACTCGTACCAACGGTAATTTGAAAATAATAAATGTGCAAGAATCACAATCTCAAAAGCCAAGCGACAAACCGACTCGACCGATGGCCGCATTTCGACTAAATGAGTCGAATGATTGTTCATTATATTAGGCCTAGGTCTGTTGTTTCTTGTGTTGTTTCTAATGCCACCTGTCTGACGTAGTCAGATCGAAGCCCATGAAACTCATCGTGGCAAGGGGTTGGATGTAGGCCTGTCATTGGCCTTAGCCTTGAGCACGATGCAGGTGACAGTACGATTTAGCTCGGAGAAATTCCCGAAGGGACGATAGATGGCGTCACCACTGATCTCCACTTCCACAGTTTAGGCATGGAACTGAAGGGGAGGGAAATATTCTTCAGACCCTGCACTCGTGATTCAGCCCATAAGTTTTTTGGACCCACTGATTTAACGAGCACGTACTCCATGTGTACTCAGAAGTTATTTGGTGGCATCGGGCATTGAACCCAGGCCTTCCGGTCTGGAGTCCGATGCTCTATCCACTAGGCTACCCATGGCCCCAGGCCCAGGCCTGACATGGACAACGGTCATCTTTGTTACCGCCGTGATATTACCACTGACAAAACACTGTTGCTGTTGCAAAGATTATTCAAGAAAGCCTATTTATTACCTTTTGAAAGAGATCTTCGAAGAAAAGTGTCATTGAATGATTCCTGTTTATTGGTATTTTTTAAATGCGGCCCTTTCGTGACAAATCAAACAATAACTGATCCATGTTTGTTTTTCACTTCAAAATAGTCAACCTTCCCAATCGTCTTGAAACGATCTATTTTCTTGGAATATTTTTCTCTTGCAAGATATGAAAGATAGTTAAAAATTAGTTCCACCCGTATAATTGTCGCTACTCCACTGTTGTCTGTTATCGCTAAACGTAACTGTTCCAAATAGAAAAAAATATCAAGTCGAAACCGTACGGCCCCAACAGTAAAAAGCAAAATTGATATATTTGACAAAAAATTTCACACCAAATATTTAATACAATGTTCTTAAATGAGTAAATTTCTCAGAGCAATGGGCCATGGCCGGGCCACTTAAAAAGGCTCGGTGGGCCACATGCGGCCCGAGGGCCGCAGGTTGACTATCGCTGCTCTAAGTCGTCTATGGATGCACCTTAAATTTGTAGTGGCTCAAAGTACTCCCGTTGGCGTGCAAAGGCCAGCTCGGGTGTCGTACTTCTCACTTGACCGAGTTGCAAAATTACGAGGTCCGTCACCGATATTTCTTCTGTTGTTTTATATATTGTGATGTTAATAAACACTCACACTGGCCACAACTCTACAGATCCTATAAAATAAATTTTCAAGTTAATTATATTACCACTGGCGTACACACATATCTCTTTCATGTGATGGTTATATTTGAAGGGAGGGGGAAACATAGATAACAGCACTGAGATCTAATTAATCTTTTTGCTTAAAATTAAAAAAAATGTGTTGGTGTATGGGAGGTGTTTGAACCCCTCATCCCCCTTTATGTACGCCACTGATTATTACGTAATGTAGTAGGCTGGGGAGAGGTGTAGAAAAATATGAAATTTAGCTCTTTTATTTAGTCCGTTTCTCTTGCTTGAAATGAAATTAATTTGAAACTCATTTTCAGATGCAAAAAAAAAGCCGCAATATTAAAATAAATTTATTTGCTTAAAACACATATATTTCCATTTATAAAAAAAAATTATGATACATTTTCATGAGTACGTCATTTTATGTGTTTTGTCAGGCAAAGATTAATATCCATTTAGCGTTGAAGCATAGTATGTAAAGAGTATTTTATACTGTGAAAAAATTGATACCTTCCAGAATATATATATATTTAATATGAAACAAAAAAAATAGCAAACAGAAGTTAGTTTATTAAAATGTATTTTCTAGAGGGACAGTCAAGTTAAAATTGAATATTCATATTGCAAACTTTTTCAGTTTGACGAAATGAACCAAATTTTGCCCTATTTCCTCATTAGACAAAGAAAACATGTACACTTTCTTAATATATTTAAAAAATATACATTTGTAAATAATCTTACAACTATAGAACGTCTTATTGATAACCACAGGAAGCTTCTATAGAATAATAGAAAATAATATTCAAAAAGACTATTAAAATATAAACGAGATCTTCAGTCAACCCGAACAACTGTCAGACCCGATATACGGTTTGAAACCCCCAATTTGGTCCCGTCAGCTTACTATATCTTTTCGTCTTCTTTTTTTTTTGTTTAGTTTCGTAGTAAATTGCTCTTTCCTCTTCCGTAGAATATATCGTCTGCATTAAAAAAAAGACAATTCCCCCTTCCCCATTTGTAATTGTCACCGCTCTCCAAAATGAGATGAGCGCCCATGAATTGATCACTTGCAACCCATTGTCGTGCAATTGGTGATTCCGCGTAGGGGAAAAAAGGAAGAGCGCGCCTTCCCAGAGGAATGAGTCAGCGCGGCGGCCAATTAGCATGTGTCTGGCGCGAGGAATCCTTTCCCTCGCGAACTGTCATCCCTGCGGCATCCCAGACGAGAGGCATTTTTGGAAGCGCTCGTTAGCGCGCTCTCGCTCCTCACTGCCGTTTAAAGCCACACCACGATGACAGGAGGCTTGCCAGCTCGCACGCGCCTCCGCAATACATCCTCCAGTGGCGGGGGTAGGGGTTATCGCAGCATCCAGACATTCCTCGATATTTTAAAATAAACTGTAGAACTTGGCGGATGAATCAGGTTATCGGAAGCTAAGCCTTCCGTGGTTTTTAGGACTTTCAATTCCTACTATTAGTTCATACTCTCCCTATATATATTTATTTACCTTAAAATCCGGCGTGTAACGCGCACTTTTAACTGAAAAACTAAGATCGAAATTTAGAGGGGCGCGTTTTACGCCAAGTATAAAACTGAGAGCTACAAAAATAAAAAAAGATGAAAATAGGAAAAAAAAATAGACTTCTATTTATATCGAAATACTGTTTAATTTAAAAGAAATGACACTCCTTATGTACTTAAAGGGTTGTAGTTCCAGAAAAAACTATTTTTCTCTAAATTTTGGAATAATACCTCAGGTAAATTACTTCAAAACATACGAGCATTGCGCACATACATTTCAGGTTTCTTCTTGAAAAAGGGGGCTGCGCGTTATACGGTGGATTTTACGGTTTGTATTTATTTCTCGTTCAAATTTTCAATCGTTAATAAAATACTTTTTACCCCCACCCCCAATCTGGCATAGTGGTTAGCGACGATGACTGTTGTGCCTTAGGGCATGGGTTCGAATCCCGGAGAAGACATGGATGTTTGTGAATGTATAGTGCCTTCGTGGCATGGGGGTACTTTAAATAGCCGTCGAGCCGCAAATCCTCTCGTGAGGTTGGTGGAAGGGAAAGAGAGGTGGGAGATCCCTGATCACTCCAGGGTGTTCTCCCTCTAAATTGGGGTGGAACCGAGCAAAATCGTTCTGTCACCTGTATGGTGCTCAAGCCTACGGTCAACGACAGGCGTACACCTAGCCCCTTGCCATGATGAATTTCGTTGTCCTCAATCAGAATACGTCAGACATGTGGCATTAGCAACAACAACAACATACTTTTTATTCATTAAACTTGTAGTGGATGACACTTGATGTTAATACAGTTTTTTCAAATACTTATTCATTAATTAAACTTAAATAAGGAGTAAATAGTAACAAACAAAAATAATAGTCCAACACCACGTATAAAATGGAAAATCGCTCTCTGTGTCTCTGTAGCGCAATGGATAGCGCGTTGGACTTCTAATCCAAAGGTCGTGGTTTCGAATCCTACCTGGGACGCCCTAATTTCTGACAATGTGATTTATGAATGAATATATAGAAACAAACAAAAAATAGTCCAACACCATATATAGAAAGGAAAATGGAAAATCGCATTCTATTTTACCACTTAATATGGTGATTTTGTCGTACACATATTTATATTAATTGTAATAATTTCATATAAAGTGACGAAAATAGAATTTTTCTTTGTTTACCTAAGTAAAAACTGACTTAATTTTTTTAAAAAAATTTTTTCTTGTTCATTTCATTTCATTTAATTCTCGGAGATGACATTCTCCATAATACAAAACCTTGATAACCATCATTGCTGTTTTTCCTGAGGGAGACGTCCACACCCCCTTTGGGTTTGGAGCTCTACTTCGCGAGTCTCTAGGTAAAGAGATTTTTAATCAACTGTCATGTTCTAAAGCAACACAAACTATTGACCTCGCAATTTTGAATTAGTGACGAGGACGATACCTGAGATGACATCCCTCTCTCCAAACATCCACTCCACGCCAATGTGAGGACTTTCAACAATGATCTAGTGGCCGTGGTAGCCTTTTGGTCATGGTCACGAGTTCGAGCCCAGGGTCACTGAAGTCCAGCTGTGATGAGCACTAATTCAGTCATGTCTCAAAGTTTCCTCGTTGACTTTGTGTGGAATTTCGTAGGGGGAGTTTCGGCTCAGGTCACTTCGTCACGTGACCCTAATTTTAGCACTTTAATCCCTAAATTTTTTGCCTGAAGGCCTATAAATTTCGAGGCTGATATCGTAATTGTTCCTTTTATCACTGGCGTAGTTAGTTCTGAATGGGCCCGGTATCAAAATTCCTTCAGGGTCCTATTTTAGATATGAAAGCCCTTTTAGTGAGACTGTAGTTACACATGTTGGCCCCCTGTTATTGATACGGTGGTAGCTATGCCCCTGCCTTTTATACTACGCAGTGGCGCACACAAGGGGGTTCGGACCCAGCCCCCTAAAGCCCTTGATTTTTTTTTCGATTGATTATAACTCTTATATAGTACGTAAAATTTGATTATTTGTTATTAATGATTAATTTTATTAATTAATGATAATTATTTATTCAATAATTAGTTTTTTACTGTGTTTTGTTCCCGAAAATCGACAAAATCAAAAGGAGCATGATACAAGAATGGTGAACTTTCGACCCCGGAACCCCCTTTGAAAAATTCCTGTGTGCGCTACTGATACTATGCTATACCCTTGAAGAGAATTGGAATTTGTACCCACGACTTATCGTCGGCTGTGGAATTTTTTTCGTTTGATATTAAAAAATAAAATAAACTTGGTGTTTTTACTGAAAAAGTCCCGAAAAAAAATGAATATTATATTCTAACTTCTTTATATTCAGGGGTTTATCCTTGGATGATTATGGCATATACCAGCGGTTCTTAAACTTGCGATCGCCGCGGTGCGTATAGGTGCGCGTACTTTCGACCCTGGACCTTCCCTCCCCCCTTGAAAAATTCCTGTGGGGGCCACTGGTCATATGTATGTGGCACATGGGGGGTGAGGTTGAATATCCCTTCTCTAAGCCCCAACTAGCCTCTTTCTACCTACCATTAAAGTGGACTCGTCCTGTTTTTCTTCTTCCTAGGGGACAGTATAGAGACGTTTGCTCTTACACCCCTCTTTCTGATTCCTTCGTCACTGAAAGATCTATTGAATTTTAGTGCTCTCGAACGTCCCATACTGTCTTTGACTATTGGAACCAATCCTCGCTAATGGCTTGCAACATACCTTAAGACTCTAAAAGTGATGCTTGGATTACGACCTTCTGGGACATTAAGCATTACAGTTACGCTTTCGGCATAATAGACAGCCCCAAATTCAATATGGGGTCATTAGAGAACATCTGGTGGAGAATTAATTTCTTTCCTCCAGAATACCCAAGAACACCATCTCTTTGCAGTTTCCCAGGAGATAGAAATTCATTGAGGAGAATGCAGCTGGAATTAGAGATCGCGTTCCTGGAAGAGAACGGTTCGGTTTTGTTATTAAGAGAAAGAAAAGGAATAAAAAGTACGGTTATTCATCTAATGAAGTGGACATGGAAATGGAGGGAACGGATATTATGGAAAGAGGAACCATTCTCCTTCGAGAGACGCTGAGAATTCGTTGTAGAGTGTGGAGGACTGACGGTCAAGAAGCGACACCTTCGACGTTTATCGCTCGAACAATACTGAATGTGAAAAGAATTGATTTTCGTTGGGACATCGAAAGATTCAGTTCCATCAAATCTGGTCAGAAGGTTAGTTATGTATTAAAGCCACTATCGAGGTTTGGAAAAAAAACTTTAATCCACATCAAAGAGAAAAAAGATAAAATTATGATGTCTATCGAGTTTCGCTACACGGCGGTGGATCATTTAAAATTACAATCATTTATTGTAGATAAGAATGGTAGCCAGAAAAATTGTGGAGAACGTGAAGTTTGGCCAGTAAGCTGTGGTGGTGCTAAGGAGTATGTCATATCAACACTGCCGTTCACCAAGAAGTATTTGATGGACAATAAAGATTTATATTTGAAAAACGACTCACTCTCTTTGCATTTCAAGTGTTCTTGGCGCATCGGATGGATTTCGAATCAGTTTGAGAGAATCGATTCTGGAAGAATTATTCCCGAACCACATGTATCAAATGCTGACATGAAGCGATTGATTGAAATGCATTGTTCAAAAGAGGGCTCCGAACACGACGTGAAACTGTGCGAATACTCAAACATTTCAGGTTCACAAGCGTGCACAGCGCATTTGCGTCTCGGTGTTTCGAGCGATCTTCAGGAAAGAGGAGGAACCAGAGTACGTCGATGTTTCCAATTTAGATGATGACACCGTGCGCCGAATGCTGTGATTCGTGAACACCGACGCATTGGAAGACCTGCAGTGGGAGAGTGCTTCGAAACTTTATGCTGCAGCTGTCAAGTACGAAATTGCTCTCCTGAAAAACAGTTTTTGAGGCATAACCTTTCTCTGAGCAAACTGTGTGATGTCATGGTTCTGGCTGACGCGTTCGAAGATGATCTCTTGAAAGCTGCCGCTCAGGACTGCGCACTTCGACATGGGAAGGTCATATTTCGCTCCAGAAAGTGGAAAGTGTTCACAAAAACGAACCGTACTTCAGCAGCAGAGACAAGGCTCTTGAAACGGAATAAATGCTGATGCAGTGCGAAAGTATTTGATTGCTAACGAGGGTGAAAGTAATTTTTTTTTCTGAACGATATTTATACATAAAAATTAAAATTGAAATTTTTTTAAAGGTAAAATATAAATCTGTAAGTAGAGAAATTTGTGCATTTTTATGTAAGAACATTAGATGATGCATTTTAAAATTCCTTATTTTACTTTATTCTTGTTTATTATAATGGCTCTTAGAAAATTCAGAACTTTTTAAGTATTTTAAAGTGTACACACACACATTTAATTTCTGAAAAGGAAGTAATAGTGATCTGTAAAAAATTTTTTTTAATTTGTTGTCTATTTAAAAATTGTACAGTTATGAATTAAGTATAAAATGTTTGCTGATGGAAGAAAAGGGAATTAAAAATGTTACTCAACGTTCCCAAGCATTATTTTTTATTCCTTTTTTATATAATTATTAATGTATAGAAAGAATAGATATAAAATAAACAGCTTATAAATGAAAAGTTTCCATTTTAATGTCATATTGTTATATGCAGTACAGTTATTTATAAAAAAGTTGAACATATATGACATGTCTTGAATCAGACTTAGTTTTAAAAAGGAGCTTTATTTGATGAAATATATACAAGTTCTGACTCTGAGAGGAGAGAGGGCAAAAAGCACGCCACGGTGTTTTTTAAGTTGGTTAGCACTTAAAAAACAGATGCGGTAAGTATCGCGGATTTTATGAGTGTACTTGGAAGTTAATGCTGACATATAGGGCTACTAAATCTAACGATCTAGAATTAGACATGTTTATTGTCTAGGCCACATGTTCGGAAGAAATGGGTGATTAGTTTGATACTTGAAGATGAAATGAAAAAGATGAGTTAAGTGCTAGATAAGGAATTTAATTTTCAGTCTAATTTAATTATCCTTACATGTATATATATGTGGCATGCAGCCAAAAGCAAAACACAGTCTTCGCGCGCAGGCGCATCAAAGTAAAAGCAGAACTGAAACTGTAAAAACAGAGACTCTTGAGAAAAAACTTAGAATTAGAGAGAGAAAAAAGAAGAACGCGAGAGGTGCGCGAGCAGGCGTTACCTTCTGAATATCATCGTCAAACTTATCTGTAAAAACTTATCTACCTTTTTAATTAATTTTTGTTTAATGTTAAATAAACCATAAGAAAGAGAAACGTATTGGACCCCTTGTTGTCTCCCACAAATTATGGGGGCTCGGCCGGGATCGATAAAATTTCGATTTTGAACCAAAGTCTGGACAATGAACAACAGCGTCCGTGAAGGAGACGCTCCGCCATTTTTCGGAAACTTCGTTCAACCTGTGTAGAGGTTGAATTTTTCAACTTCATTCCGCCTGTGTAGAGGTCGGAACAAATAACAAAATAACCTGTGTAGAGGTGTATTTTTCAACGAACCATCGACAAATATTCCGCCTGTGTAGAGGTTGGAAAACCCATCGACGAAAATTCCGCCTGTGTAGAGGCCGGAACCACAATTTCAACTATATTACCTGCGAAGAGGTGAAATCAGTGGAATCGAAATTTTTTCTTCATTGGATACATCGTACGTGCGAGCAACAAGGGAGCCAAAAAAAAAAAAAAAAAAAGGTAGGATCTTTTCATATTTTTATAAAATGTATAAAAACGCTCTTAAAGAGGATCTCATAAGAGTTGTTGAGGAGCTAGACGGTACTGTGGAAAGTACTGACACTATAGTTAAACTAAAGACTAAAATTGAGAACAGTAGTACATTTGAAAGTGATCCAGATTTCGTTAAAACTTTAATTCAAAACTGTATAGATGAGAGAGTATCGCAAAACGAAAGAGAGGTAACTTCAGAACAAAAA